GGAGCCGGGCCCGGCCGCTGCGGCCTGCTCCGGCGGCGTTGGGCCTGCCGCCCTCCGGCCACCCGCGCCGCTGGTCCTCAGGTGACGGGACGAGGTGCGGGCCGGGCGGTTGTGTGGCCCGGGAGGGAAAGGGAGCGGAGAGGAGGAGAGCCCAGCCCGGCCATCGCGACGCTTTGGGGCTGCCTTCCCAGCCCTTCTAATTGGCAGCAATTAAAATCTGCTAGGAATTGCCATTTCTTGCGCCCGGCGTTTAAAAGCTCTTCACATCCCTTACCTTGCCAGGCGTTTCTGAGCAAACCCCTGATTTACGAGTGTGATTCACAGAATCATTCGTTTCTGAGCTGCTATTTCTAGCTCAGATACATCATTTTACAACAGTATTCTTGTAATATTTTCTTTTAAAACACACCAGAACCAGTGGAAGTACCAGCTGATGCTCACCTCTGTTCCTATGGCACCTACTTAATCTAGACAAGGAATCAAAAGACGGTGTTGCCTGGGAAAAACGGACATGGTCATATGCATGAGAAATCTGAAACGTTAAAGCTCAAAACATCTGTAATTTCTGTTCTTAGAGTCTTGGATATTTCAAGCCAGGGCATTGTCATTGTCAATTTCTAGCCTAACTACAGCAGTGTTTCAATCAATTAATATGTGAAGGGCTGAAGACGGGCAACATTTTCCTTCACTGTTTTTTTGTGTTATACATAAGCTGTGGTGAGACCTGCTGGTTCTACCTGGACCAAGCCCAAGCAGGAGAGATTTGTGCCCTTCAGCTGCGGAAGCATCACTTAAGACAGCCCAGCTGCCTGCAAACTGCAAGACGGACAACCTGAGCTTTTAGTAACCCAGATTAAATAGTAACCCAGGTACTGGAGCAAGGAACTTGGATGCCTGACAAGTTCACTGTTGAGTATTAACTTGTTTATTGAAAAGTTACTGTTCTATAGGTCCTGGTGACTGGTACAGTTTTAAAGTCAATACTGTGTCAGTAAAATTTGCCCTGTGTTCAGTCTGCTTAATTAATGCTCCTTACCCTTTGATTATCTGGCTGTGTGGCAACCCAAAAGATAGATTCAATGGCAAATCATGTTTAGTTTTTACATGAGTTTTAACCCAGAAGAAAAGGTTATTGGGTTGTTGAATACCACATTTCTTACTCTTGTGTTTTGATTCCAGCGGAAAGGATAAAGAACATGTATTTCCCTGTAACCAGCACTGATTTAATGTCTGGAAGAGAGGAGGGAAAGAACAATGTGGATGGCTTTTTCATACTATGAAGTGTCTCTGGCTCCACCAGAAACATGTCTTACGCTCAGCAAAAGAGATGCCAGAGTTGTTCAGGTTGTTACACACAACCTTGACATCAACTAAAACACTCTTGTTTCTGCTGTTAGCCGACATGAATATAAAGACTGAGCAAAACACACTGCTGCTCCTCAAACATTGTACTGCTCTGCATCTAACTCAAGGTACCTTCTTTTGGTATGGTACTGGCTGCCATGTCCGTACCATGTACAGTATCAATCCATAACTAGTACTGCCATCTCTGAGTGCAGCTCCAGCAATGGTACTTAACTGGGGGATGAGGCAGGGAAAAAGAGCCTTTTACAGAACTACAGAAGGTGTGTATGAGGCAGAAGTTCACATGCCCATCATAGAGTTAGAGACAAAGCAACTGCAAGAGGCACTTATTTCTTTAGGTATATACTGTGTTGTGGATTTTTTATTGAGCTTCTTGTTCTGACAGTCCTGTCACTTTCCTTGTCTCTCTCTTACATGGAGGGAGGAGTGATCCTGCGGAGTTCCCTTTCATGCTCTGGGCAAAATACTGTCTTCTTTGCTTGTTGCTCCATTGCTGGCCCTTACCTCTTTCTCAGAGTCTTGTCCCTCCTGCCTTAGCTCTTGATCTCTACCTTCAGTTCTAGCATTTTAACCCTTTTCTAGCTGCACTGTCACCACAACATATCTTCTTCATTTAGTGGAATAATTGCTGCAACCTCTTCCTTGCATGCTACACAAAGAAAGGCTAGCCATCAGTGGCTGACCTGGGAATGTTCTATTACTGACAAGGTAGGCAAGAGCTTGGAGGTTTGTCTTAAGTAGTAGATGGCAACAGTCACTGACAGCTGGCGCTTGCTGGGAACAGAATGTATATACATAGATGGGGTAAGGTATGGACTGTAAGCTAGATGTCCCTAGGTAGAGACTCCAAAGTCGTGACCACTGTAGGCCATGTTATGGTTTCTTCTGTAGGTTCCTGCTGAATCTTTGTTCACAATATTCTTGATTTTTCTTCTGATTGCTTTGTACCCACTCAGCACTTGTCTGAGTCCTTGCCATCCATTTAGTGTCTCTTGTGCAACCCTGCCTACCCAAGCCATTCAAAGGTGGACATGGACAGCAGGTGGCAATAGCAGAGCTTGCAACATTCTTTGCATTCTCTCCACTAAAATAATTGTCAGCCTGTACTGGAATGACCATTTAATATCATAAATATTATAAACATATTCATGTTAATGTATCCATGTCAACAACTGCAAGAAGAGGCTTAAGCATTCATGTGAAGTGAGCGAATAGAAGACCTCAGAAGTAATAAGTAGTTTTAACTGAAACTGCCCATAGAATATGACCACAGATTTCTTTGTTGTTGAAATAGGAATCTGGAAGCGTGGTTCATCATGAAAAAGATTAAAAAGTTGAAAGTCTTAATTTCATTTTAATGTTTACCTAGCTAAAATGTAGGAGTTAGAATTGATAATGGTAATAGAGAAGGCAATAATGGTGTATGTGTTGATAAAAAGGGGGCCAATCCTACAGATGTTATTAGCAGTACTATTTACTGCCATTAAAGTGAGTGGAATGAGCATGTTTTACATCAAATACTATGTTTCTCTTAGTACAGGACAGAATGTGTTTTCGTGTGGTGTAAATTTTTGTTTGCTAGTTTTGATGCCTCTCTAGGCTGCAAAGAAACTGAAAACAGAGTAAGAAGACCTGAAGCTATAATAATTATTCCTGTCACTACACTTCTGTGCCTTTTTATATTCAAGAGAAAAGACAGCATCAAGCAATTATCAACAAGCCATTACAAAAACACATCAACATGCTTTGGTTCACCTATAATGTTTATTAGTCAGGAATGTCACATGGGCTGAAGAAGGGAAAGGAAACTGTAAGTGAGAAGAAATACACCCACACCTGATTAAATACTGTGTAATAAGTTAGTTCCTACAGCTTCTGTAATTCTTCATAATCTTACCAGGGCAGTACAGATACTCTCACTTCTAGACATATTCAGTATAATAATATTTGTTAAGCCCGATGCTTCGCTAGGTAATTTTTGTTTTATTCAAAGTGAACAGTGAGATTTTTTTTTCTTTTTGCTGAGTGTTAATGGTAAAAAAAAACATATCAGGGAAACAATAGAGAAAATGTTTCTGTTTTGTCCTCTTAGAGCAGATGATAAAGAGTGAACTGCGATAGAAGTGAAGAGGGTTTTTTTGGGCTCACCCAACTTACTCAGACAAGTTCCTGATATCTAGTGCAAATGAACATGTATAAACTTGCACACCTCTTAACATCCAAAAAGTTAAAGCAAATGGTCTCTTTTTCAAGAGGGAATAAGAAAACGCAGTTTTCCATAAAACTGCTTTTGCTCTGTTCTTTGGTAGCAGAAGGTAGCATTTGCCAAATCTATTAACTTACACAATTTAGAACACTGCTATTATTATGAAATATACTACTCATTTATATCACTTTTTTATTGTTCAATAGCTACATGATGCTTTATTTCAATTGTGTTGTATCTGAGCCTGGAGGCTTTGCCTGGGTATTGTCTTATCCATTGTACCTACATAAAAGTCAACCCCTTGCTCAAAACTCAGCATTTAAGAGAGACACAGATACTCAGAATGACGGACAGATTTGTAAAAGATAAATTGGTTTTATATTAAGTGACACCAGTTCAGTCTTGGAAACACGTAGTATATATTGAACATGACTGCTAGGAGACTACATGCCATATCCATAAAAGGATTTGAACACCGAAAGGTTTGTCTTTCAGGTACCTTGCTTCCTTTTTTTTTTCTTTAATATGTTGCTAGTCATCTCACAGATCCAGCATGTCAACTTTAGTAGTGTCCCCAGGTTTTTCTGGAGACTCTGTAGTTGCTTTCCCCACAGCCTGGTAAACCTTGCATTTGGAGTCAGTCTTAGATTACTGTAATGCCACAGGCGATGTCTTTGCCTCCAGTTGCTTCTGCAGTTGTGCATAATCTTGCTGCCTGAAGGGAAAAGCTGTAGTTCTCTTTCCTCCCTGTGGGAGCTGTTTGTGTTATGTATTCCTGAGATCTTGTATATGGAAAATATACTCT